AGAGATTCAACGAGAATCGCGTTTTTTCGTGTTTTATTTTTTTTCTCAGCTTCTATTGCATGTAACAGCCTGAAACCAATTACAGAAGGTAGAATTGAAAGAAAATATGCAATAATATGAAAAAAAAATGCTTATGTTTCTGTTTCAATGCATGTGATTATTTGCACATTTAATATTCCTGCAAATATTGAGACAAACCGGTGCCTGATGCTCATTGGCTGAAATCGGATGCGCAAGCCCCACTCATATCTTTCCACGAAGGATATTCCGATTGAGGTTGATGCATAATCGACCTATAATATTTTGAGTTCATATGTCGTAATTGAATCTGCTAATTATTTGTAAAAAAAGGTTTCCAATCACAATTTGGCGCGAATTTCAAATTTTTAAACTGATATAATTGGTTTTAACTTTTTCACTCTCGTCCACATTGTTTCAAAATTCGGAAAAGAAACAAATGTTATAGGACACATACTAAGGAGAAAAATTGAGAAAGTAATTCATTATTATCACGTCCAAAAATTAATGCAAAAAGTATATATTTCTTTTCTATTTGAATTTGGCGTCCAAAATAATTGACAAAAATACCTTCAATGCAACTATTTGTCCCCGTCTCTCAATTTGCTTCTGCTTGATACATACAATAGAATCTGAGAAAAAATAAAACAAGAAAAGCATCTCTGCAACAGATTGCCCTTGAGGCTGATTTGTTGCAATCTTCAACATTATGTATTCTCTTTCATATAAGCATCGCAAATTTCGATTTGATTTAGGGGACATTTTCACAGCCTTACCATTTATTACTTTACCCACTGGCTATACCCTTTAGAAAAAAGTCCTCTAATACTTGGTATACCCAGAATCCATGTTTTGTGGATTACTGATACCGAAATATCGAATGACGGCAAAACAACGGTGGGTCCGTCCGTCCGTCCGTCCGACCGACCGACCGACCGACCGACCGACCGACCGACCGACCGACCGACCGACCGACCGACCGTCCGTGCGTCCGTCCTTCCGTCCTTCCGTCCTTCCGTCCGCCCGTCCGTCCGTCCGTCCGTCCGTCTGTCTAAATCTTGAGTAGAATTTTCATCAAAACTTACATTTTTCTTTTTATCTGGCAGATGTCGCAGCCTCTTGAATTTAAAACCGACATATTTATTGTACATAACGTAATTCAGCGACATTTGCGATGTTTCCTCAAACATGACCCCATTTTTCTTCTTTACATTTTTCTTCAGATAGAGAAAATTTCTCTAATAAAAATCCCTCGCTCAATTTCATTTGCATTCTACGAATTATCAAAATTTTGAAAACAAACTTTTTCGGCGTCTTCATACCACTAAATATTGAGTATATAGATTTTCTTTATTCTCATATTTTGTAATGGTTTGAGTTAAATAATTGAGGTGACAGGGTAGCTGGCTAACAGTTTACATCCTCAATTTCAATTTTCGTGCGTGCGTTGTTCTATCGACTGGCATCATATGCTGCGTTGTCATAGTCACTATGTGCAGTGACAGTTCAGAGAAATTTTATATTGGCCTAAATGTCCAGAAACATTAAGCTCAAAGACAATTATGAGTCTTCCTCATCGTCTAGAATATCTGTGACGCAAACCGCTTCGGTTATATATCCGTCCTTCATACGTGTCTGAGAATATTTTACTTAAGGATACGCGACGTTTCATGAATTTTGCTTGCTGTTTACCTTTCCCGAATGGGAAATTACTTGGAAAATACGTTGTGAAATGAAACCCACTCACAAGTGTTCAGCGTGTTTAGAGTAACAGATGATGACATGCTGGTAAAGGCATTACGCAGAATCCAATAGACCAACCGTATGAATCATGCCTTCCATTATTATCAACATAGTCGTAATGAAGAAAAACGTATGTTATCCCGCGTCCATTTTTATGCTGCAAAAACTACGTCAACTAGTGGTACTACAGAATGGCACAGACTTTCCCGTATTAGTTTTTTATTTCCTTTGGTCTCGGCTAGCTATACGAACTTGCCACATACTCTTGCCAGCTACCATCTATCGCCGTCCAAAGTACATTTTTTTGAAATTTTCTTATTTTTTTGGTGTTCTAATAAAATAACGGAAATAATATTTTTTTAGAATATTAAAGAACAGTATTATTTTCAAAACGCCCGTCCGTCTGTCAATCTGTGAACATCACTAGCGCCTAAACCATACGTACGTTTTTTTCCAAAATGGATATTCCGCGATTACTCTGGCTCCACTCGAGGCGCCGCAATTTTGAAAAACTTTCTTCAAAATTTGGGGAAACTTAACATGAAGCTGCCCGTACCTTTCAAAATTTTCTCAAAAACGGATCCCAATTTTTTCTTTACATTTGTTGTAAGAATAGAGTATATAAGCACACGTATGAAGGTGGCAACAGACCAATTTTCAGGGTTAACTGAATTTTAGAAAATTATGAAATTTTGAAATTTGGGGGCTGCAAATATTACATATAGAGAGTTTTCCTTCATATAAAATGTGAGTTCTTTCATTAAGGTCTTGAACATTTTTTTGAAATTTTTTTTCAGCAAGAGCAAATTACTTTTATAAGATGCCCTAGGATTTATTTTCATTGAAACCAGCATCCACTTTCAAATCCCAACAGGGCAGAGCAGGACAGAAAATGCAAAATGGAATACTGTTATTAAATATATGACAAAGTGTATGTTGTAGTATCAATACTTAAATTATATGTCGAAAACAATTTGGTACACTCCATTTTGGAAGTTCGTCCAATCTTTATTTTTTAATAATATTGGAACAGAATCTATTAAATTTTAGTTCTAGATTATATTCTTTTCAATGTTTTTCATTCATGTTCATATTCCTTTTTTACATCAACGTCGCTGTATAATTAATATTTATTTGCTATATTTTCTTCTGTTTGAAGAACCCAGAGAAATTATCAACGATTTCTGAAAGGTTTATTTACTAAATTTGTTATCAATAAATACAGACTGATAATAACTTGTTTCACACGTATGAACATACCGCACTTTGTAAACCATTGTTTCAAAAGAGAATATAACTTTATACTCGAACCCAATCCTGTTTCTGCTATTGATAGTTGATAGCTGGAAATGCAGTCTTTTTATTTGCAACCCTTTGATTATTACGAAATAATTTTTTAAATCTTCCAAACTTCAGTTCGGAGATAAAATTGACGAATAAAACTGGAAATTTTGAATAGCTAGAGAACGTGTTATAGCCGAACACCAAAAAATGTAAAAGAATTTCCCAAAGGATATACTTTTGTTGACGTGGGATAAGAAATATAACTTGAGTTCCTGCAGCATAGGGATGCGATGTCGACGATGATGTTTTCAAATTGACATTGACTTTTTCGTTGTGTTGCTTGAGAATGAAGACGTCCCATAATCACAGGTGCAGGGCTTGTGCTTCTTTCCAAATCCTTGTAGGGCAGTTTGAGGAAGCTCTGATCCCTGTGAGGTGAATCTGAGCGTTCATGATTTCAGGTTCAGTTTTGTTAATCTTATTCTTGTGGTTTTTTAGTTTGGATAGGTAACAAGAAGTAATCTTACACAATCAGAATTGTGTAAATCCTTTTGAATAGGTATAAAGAAGTAGACTTCCACAATAAAAACTGTAATTTTAATATAAAAGATTACTTCTGTTTTCCTATCCATAAGGATAATCACGAAAAGTCTGCGGTAACGACTGAGTTTTTTGAGTTAAATCATCTGAAAACGCTTAATGCCAAATTTCATTTGTCCTCGTGCAAACATAAATTTTAGAGACCACAAAACAACTTTTGAAATCATCCAAGTTTAAGAAAATTATGTTTAGGGGCAATTTATTACTAACATCAATTTTTTTAATTTTGATCATCAACGTTTTGATCTATATTTTGTTTTCGACGTGGTATCCCTTCTGAAGGAGACCTAAAACGGGTTGTGAGAGACTAGGTTGCACCGTGCCGTAGTTGTGCAATGTAGAAACGTGCATTGCAGTGCAACCCATGTTGTGACATTTGTATCTGTTTATTTTCATTTTTCATTTTAGGTGGAAATAAAAAATTCACTGAATGAATTAGTCACATGCTGTGTGTTTTTATGTTGTCAACTAGTGGACAGTTATGGCAATCTGATGCGTTCTTTACATATTAATGTGAACAAACTGTTTGCTATCCTTAATGATATATAATTAATGTTACAAACATTTAGGGTATGTAGAGGGGTTGATATGACCATCTTTTTTGCTAGTGAACGTAAAGGGAAATTTCATGTAACTGAGTTCTATGAAGTACTTTGCCCCTAATTGTTAGACAACCTCTTATGCAGAGGTGTGCAGCAGGTCACGTTCCGACGAAGTCATTAAGATTCATAAACCTGCCGAACACCTGTATAGATTACCTAACTGGTTGCCTACCATTCAGGGACAAATTCAACATGAAAAACTCCTTAATATGAAATTTTCCACTATCTATATTCGAATCATCAGTATAGCTCTGAAGAAGGCCACAACACAATGGCCGAAACCTCAACTCGATCGACTGAGACGCGGCTCCACAATCTATTCTTCCACAATCCTTCTATTCTTCCAATCTTTCCACAATCTATTCTTAGGTAAAAAGTGATCATTTTCGACCCCCCCCCACCATATGCCATAGAAGTTTGTAACATTCATTCATGTATATTAATAGTATTAATACTATTCTTGCAACACATAAGAGATTAAAGACAGAGGAATAGGGATCTTGGATTTGCGTTATTCGAAACGACACAATTACAGAGTAAATTACAGAGTAACATCGCAAATTTGGTAGTTCCGTGGGTGAAAATACACTGTAAACGCAAGTCTCTCCGCCGGCACCTAGTGAAAAAGGGGAATCTATTGAAGATGTCCTAGCTCTGACCTACATATTACGTAGAGCGATCGCAGCTGCCTGCAAGCGCGCGAGTGCAGCGGATGCGCTTGCGGCGGGCTGGGCGGGGGGAGGGGGGCGTGCCCACGCGAGGCCCAGCCGGCGCATGCGCACCTGCGCCGCCGCACCGCAGGCGCTGGTATTGCGCACTCGCCGCGCCGCCTGCCAGTGGTCGCTGCGCCGAGAGGGACACCGAGCGGGCAACCGGCAGCTAGCGCGTCTGGCGGCTGGATTTGCTTCTTTTCAGGTGAGACTGGGGTTTGATGCGGGGCGTCATCACAAAATGTCGGTTTTGATCTACTTCAGAAACAAGGCATCAAAGAGGGTGGGATGTATTTTTTTAAAAGTTTATTACATTAACGGAACAGATATTAAATTTGTGGTACGTGTTGTAAGGGGATATTATTTTTAAGATTTGGCAATTGGTATTCTGCATCCCATGACATAAAGACATATCTACTCAACATTTCACTTTTTCAGATAATCTCGTATATTATTTTTATATTTAATCATCTTTAGATGAAATGTAAACAAAACTGTATTTTATTAGGCACTCATAAAAATTTGATTTATAAATACATCATATGGTTTTATTACTTTATTACATTAATTTTTGTAAGTCAGCTTATTTTTTATCTGGTATCACCCCAAGGAATGTGGTGCCCCAAACTTCTCAGGAAATGAGGAAGTTAAAAAATTAGGGTGAGTAACGACAGCCCAACATGGTGGCTGGGTAGCACACTGGATGAGACCGCGACCCCTGCTTGCCCGTATCGTTTCGCTCTGATGGCGAATAAGAAATCGTGGTTCGCGGTAATGCGATTCCAGATAATTATTGCGAAGAGGATTATTGCTGAAAGTAAACAATGTGTTGGCCCCTCAAAATACTTATTCTTGCCCTCTTTACAAATAAATCAATTTCTAAGTAAACAACGAATCAATTCGAAACAGTTTTCAGATGATTTTCTAATCTATATCTATGTGTATAAAACAGTCTGGTTAGATACAACATTTATAATTCAAGAACAGCTAGTCCAATTTTAATTATATCTGATTTGTTGGATTCATCTCCACCCCGAATAGCAGAATGACTAAAAAATTCGTAAAAATTCACTAGCTGGCGCTTTAACCAAAACTAAATAGTCATGTTAAATGTAAGCCACAATACGCCCGGCAGGATTTTTGAATCTATATCGTTAAATAACTCTTAAACAAAGTGTTCTAGGGAATTGAAAACTAAACATTTGTTGCCAAAGGCGACAGAGAAACTTTTCGCATACCGTAATCTACAGGATGAGAACTTCTTGAACAGTTTATTACATTTGTGCTGGGGGGGTGGAGGGAGATGAGGGGAGAAAGGGAGATGAAGGGCAGAACATTGTCTGCCGGATTCCACAATTCTCATATACTCCAGCCAAGAACACGCTGTAAAGGCAGTTCGTGAATTTTGTTTGTGTACATAAGATGTTTCTCAGGAGGGTTGAACACAAAGTTAGTAAATAAATGCAATGCCATCGAATTCCACTGATGCGGAGGGGTCGGCTCACGGACGATATACGACGTAGGCGATACTAGTGATGGAACCTTGGACTGTGGCAAGGTCGAGGTTATAATACTTTTTCTGGACGGTTTGCAAGCTTGCGTCATAGATTTTTAAAACAAGGCGCCTTCATAACGGACTTAGTAACGAGACAGACATAGTGTGCAGTATATAAACAATCCGGCGCTTGTTGAGATGTATGCACCGACCACGTGAGCTTATGTCTGTGCTATGTAGTTTTGCTTTTTATTTTCTTTGGTAGGTAAACATTAAAGAAACCGAAAGGAAAGAGGTGGGTCAGCTGCCTAACAATTTGGGCTATTGATACGCGGCTACTGATGTGAGGATTACTACGTGCGTTGTCTTTCCTTCCTCCACGTAATACCCTCCTCTCCCCTTATCCACCCACACTCATACGTACAAGCACTACCTCACATGCTGGGAAACCAATAGGGAGTTTAGAGCTTGCCCCGTCTGGGGCAGTGCCTCTCTAGAGGAGATACCTAAATAGGAAAAGACAACGTGTTGGTCGGCGCCACAGCTTACTAATGGGATTCGTTTAGAATTTCGTTCATTGACGAAATAGAATTCGCAAAATGTTGGAGATAAAAAAAATATAGAAGTTGCCTGCCCAGTTTTGGGGCAATGGGCATAAATTGGTTAAAAAATCAATTTTCCAGATACCTCTATATTGGCCCGAAATTTCATTTTAACCTGTAACCCCCCTCCCTAAATAGCTTATTTCCAAGACTATAAGTTCTGAATTCATGTCTTGGCTTTAAAAAGTAGAATCTTTCAGCTTTCTTGTTTTAGTTTTTTCTAAAAACATAATTCAAGTATCTCCGTAGTTATACTAAAGAAATCTAGCAAAAATCGAAATAAAGTAAAATATTTCGAACAATAGCTTTAACAAAAAATTAAAATTAAAAACCAACTTGTCCCTAACTTTCTAATCTCCTTCAACTGAACCTACATATCGAGAAAAAAATGAAGTTTTTATGTGCCTTCAAGTTCTAATTATTACAAAATACTTATGCTTTAAAAACATATTTCTTTTATAATTCAGTTTTTCAAACATTTCGATTTTTTAAAGAAAGGAATATATTATTCAACGTTAGCCAGGGGAATTGAACACGGGCTTCCAGTATTCCAGTTTCTTTGACGATTTCCAACCGTTTCCTGTGGAAAGTTTGTTTTCGAGGAAAGGTTACAAAACAGAATGCCATAAATTATCATTACTTTGAAGTGTAATAACACCGAGTGTGTGACAATATCATTGTTTTAACGTTTTATTACTCCGTTAAAAATAATTCTTCAAATACTTTACGTACTTAACAAAAAATTGAAAAGTAATTTCAGTGGTCAATAAATCCATCAATATTAATTAAAATTTATTTTTTGATTAAGTCAAAATTAATGGCAATACTCGACATACCGAAACGTTTCCTCCTCTAAGTGTTTTGAATTTCAAAATGTGGATAAAGTAATAAATTCTTTATGTGTTGATGGTGAAAACACTTTATCGGAATATTTTGGCTTTCCACGTTCTCTCACGTATACACACAGGAATTCCAAAACACTAAAACGATTGTTTAGGTTACTACCATCAGCATTTCATATAGGTTTAGTTGATGTTCCATTCCCCTGCGCGCTAACATCAAGGCAGATTTTGATGCCGTGACTGCTTTATTGATTGAGGTTTCCGTTCGCGACAACTGTTGTAATTAATCCCGTTAACGTAGTGAATGTTTTTATCCAGGAAGTGGCCAATGTATTCCCCCGCGTCGATCCATTGGGGATTTCCCCCTCCAGATATCTACATCAGCGGGCGATAGAAGAAAGAAAAGTGAAATATCGTTCGTGGACCGTAGCCCGTTTGTTAGGGTTCTACTCCGGCAATCGTCTGCTATTGATCGGAGAAACCACGAGACAATGTGGAGTAGATGGCCTCCAGTATTCTCCTCCAGTCATCGGCAACCTTCTACCCAACTATCTAGCTACTGTCGAAAATCGGCCACCGTCGGGACTCGATCTCCAGAACCTCCAGGTCAGAGTGATAGGCAACATTGAGCTAACTCACCGCCCGTCGTTTTCTTGAAAACATTGTTGTTTACGAATGTCCATTTTTGTACTTACTGTTATGTACGGACTAATATGCATAATAAAGGCAACGTTATACAATGCTGCGGGAATTTGATGTCCAGATTTGGATGGAAATACGTAAATTTGCACTTCTTCTCTTGATGAATGTCTACAGTCTTATTAATAAAAAACAGGTCCTCTTCAAATTTCAGACATTCAGATTTATTTTATTTATACATAATTGTTTTTATTTATTAAAATACATTATACGTGGGCGTTACGTTTCGGCTGCTACCTTGTAGCCATCTTCAGACATCTGGTTCAAAGAGTTTTCTCTATGTATGTAGTTAAATAAAATCACAAGATTTTACTTTAAACCAGATCTCTGAAGATGGCGTCAAGGTAGTAGCCGAAACGGCACGCCCACGTATAATGTAGTTTAATAAAATCACAATTATGTGCAAATGTAAATAAATCTGAATGTATAAACTTTGAATGGGAACTGTTTCCTATTAATAATGGAAATACATGTTTAGTGATCCCCTCATTTCCGAAAATAAATTTTAAACGTATCTGCCTGTACTTAATTTGTCCTAAGTTATAAATTATCTAACTTGAAACTCCCATAGTGAAAATTACCAAGTAAAAAAGTCTTTTCTGCAATTTTTTTTCTGGGGGCATTACATAACATAATATCCTTTAATATAGGTAGTAAAAAGATGTCATGTTTTAAACACAATTATGCGTTCATGAAAACCAATTTAGGTGTGTAATGGGAAGTAACTCTTTCCGTAAAAGAATTCTTGAATTATCTAATAATTAAGGGGATATCTAGTAATTACGATTATACAGACTTTTGCTCTCATGGAGCAATTACGTTTCAGAATTCACCATAAACCAATGGGCACTGTCCACGAAACACAACGAAACTTATCACTTTTTTTCGCCTCTTAATTGATAATTTTGTAAATCTCGTTTCAATGAATTCGTTTTTTGTTGGTTTTTGGTATTATATTGGGCGCTGCGTTTAAATTATAGGGTTTTATTTCAGGCAAAATGTAAAAATAATATTTCTACGCGAAACATCTATGACGCGAATAATTCCAGGTCAGTTACAAAGGCAATAATTAATCAGAATTACTAGACAATCAATGCTTCATCTCTGAAGCCATATTTACAGGGAACTATATGAACAAGGAACATCATGCGCAAATATTAAATTCATATAGACATTTTTCTTTATAGACATTAACCTCATCAGTAACCAATTCTGTAGTTCATGAATTTCCATCAAGCTGCGATCTTTAGAAGTGGGTTTTATAACTGTCTGCTAACAGTGTTTAATAACGTTACTGCATTTTGGTAAATTAATGTAAAAAAATAGTTACATGCATTGTGATTTCTTGTTGTTACAGCGCCACCGACGCGATGTCAGTTTTAAATATCGTAATTAATTAAAAGAACATGATAATTTAACTTTAATTTGTTGATTATATTCATGAATTAATCATAAATGCCACTCTTGCTATGTAAATTCTCAGATAGATTCACTGAACATGGCATTGTCTATGAAAATTCTCCAAACGAAAACAAATGAAACAAGTCTTTGCGGGTACAGTAATCAT